TTAGAGAAACTTGAAGTTCTTACAACATATTCGTTTAATCCATCTTAATCCAACAACTTTCATATTGCACTTCGCCAATTGAAGTTATAAGTAACTTAACCACTACTACATTGACAAAATCTCGTTTGTTGCGCAAAAAAAAAAGGTAAAATAACGTTAATTATGGTAGTGTAGAAGAAAGAAATTAGTATATATATATTTTTTATTATATGTATTTGCATGGAAATTCTTTTGAAAATTGAAATATATGAATAACATTAATTAACTATACGATTTATTAATATCACCACTATAGGAGCGTTTAAGATATGATATGAAGTTTATACTGTATAAATGCATGATGTGTATTAAAATTGAAAAGGTTCTTATTAGAATAATATTCATTTAATATACGATATATAGTATAGTAAATATAGAATTAGACAGATTTGGACGTAGATTTGAACGTAAAATTAGACAAAGAATTAAGCATATAGATTATTGAGGTTTTGTAAATAAGATAAAAAAAATACTATTGAAAAAAATTAGTAATCTTGATTTAAATTAACAATGCTTACTTAACAATAATATTTGGTAGCAGTTATTTTGAGCTTTAAATTTTAATTAAATATCATGATAAAAATTTACGATGCGTTCTCCTGTTCAATTTTCACGTGTAATTTAACCGATCTTGATTTTCAAACAATCGAATTAAGCAAAAGATTTAAATTAATAAACAACGTCTTTAGGGTTAAGATTGAAGCTAAAGAACATACAATATACCAAAATCACGATTTTTGTTTTTTTTTCTTAAAAAACATTTTGCCTATGAAATTGCCTTTTGCAAAATTTTCACGTTACACCCGATCCTTCGATCTGATTGATTAAACATCACGATTTCACACGTGTTGATCAGCAATCTCTATATATATAATGGTGATAATCTTTTTTTTTCACTAGTCTTGTTTTTTATTTTGATATCATGTATTATTCCGTTATCTATAGTTAGTAACAGAAAATATTACTAACCCACAGAAACACGGAAAGGTTTGCTCTTTTTTGTAGGGTTTTGGCTGCGGGAGTAATATGATGGCTGGGTTTAGGTTATGACCGGCCCACTGAATCGGAATGGTAAAACAAAGAAGCAATTCGGAGTTTTATCATGCTCCCAAGGCTGGAACGACTTATTTTTCTAGAATAGTTTTTTTTTTTTTTCTTTATATCTACAAAATCTTTCCGGTTTTTGTATAATATTTTCTGTTACTCTATAGTTAACGTCAACATGTATTTCTTTAATCCCCTTCACTCTTTTTGAGCTTTCCTTGAGTGAGTATTTACTATTCACTCATGCTTACGTCCATTATTAGATACAACTCTGGGTTGTTATAAACCTAGTTATGGATACACCTCTATGCGGTGACTGGGACAAGTAAGCTAAATTTTGTTTTTTTAGCTGAAACTAAGTATCCTAAACAGACTAAATATGGTGATGTAAATAAAAAAATATGTAGATAATAATTTAGATATATTGGTTTCTAAATTTCTATTAAATATATAAATTTGTATAATTAAAACCTATTAATAAAATTTGTATAACTAAAATCTATTAATAAAAATCAATAAAAAAAAAAAAAAACGTTTGACCAATGTTTCTTGAAATCGACAATGAATTTTTTAATTTTTTTTTTGTATATTGATGCATTTGCTGACATACATTCGATTCAGTTCGATATGATTCGACATGACTTAGTTTAATTCTATTATCAAATCTGAATCTCTGATCTCATAGAACTATTTATAAGTCTTGCTTTAAATTTTGACAACTTAGTTCAATGATGGTTTTTAAACTTGTTCAAAACACAACCTCATTGACTTTAGACAATTTTTGGGCTAGTCCAGATTAGTTCGAACTGTCAAAATATTTTCTTATCATAAAAATTAGTACGATGTAGCAACAGTAACTCTTGTTTTGGGTTCACCGATAGCTTATTTTGCCAACATTACTCCAAGTGACAGCTTACTAAAAATATATACCAGTGACTAATAAAATGCTAATCCTAACCCTATGTGATGTCGATTGTTAGTGAAGTAAACAGCACCACTTGTATAATTGTCCATGTAATTTAGCATAACTATTTACAATACATCATATGTATTTTCAATTTTCTTAATTATAACAGGTCTAATATCAAATGAACTTATTGACATTATTACAAACTTGTCATCTAAAAAAGTAATTACAATATTTGTTATAAAGTTTTTGTTTTATCTTAATTAACAAATCTATTACAAAATCTGGATCACTTATTGTATTTCAAGATTTACAACTCAACCTTTCAAATATAACTCATTATCAAATGTTGTTTTACTTTCATCATGTTCTCTTCTATTCAATTCTATTAGATCAAAAATAAATTTTTGGTATATCCAATAGATTAAATATTAAACTAATTCTTTATATATAATTACTAACATCCAAATCTAAATAAGCCTTGATTACTTCAGTTGGTTTAGATTGCAGATAAATTAGTCTGAGTTTTATTCTTTCTATAATATTTTAAAAACAGAATTATACTCTATATAAATCTCAATTAAATATTCAATAAAGATAGAGACATGATCTCATCATTAATATTAAAAAAAATAATAATATTGTAATTTATATAAAGAATGACAATCTTTATTAATACAATTTTTTTAATTTATTTATAAAAATTTAAACTTGTTTTAAGAATAATTTTTTTTTAATTTCAAGAACATATAAAATTAAAAAAATTTTTTATAATAATTTTTAAACAAAATTTTTAAATTTTTATTGCTTAAAAGTTTTTAATTAATTTTTAAAAAAAAAATTTAATAAAATTTATAAAATACATTTTTAATAAAATATTTTATAAGTAAACTATACCCTCATATTATTAATAATTTATTGTATTATTTAAAATATAATTTAAAAAATCTAAGTAAATTTGTCTGAAAAATGGTTTAGAGAATATGTGTATCCGTGCTTTATTAAATATATATGAGTGCCAAGTGAAAACCCGTAATAGCGACTTTTGGATTTCTCACCTTTTTTTAATCCAGGATCGTCATGCTAGGTCTGTCTATTCCGTAGAGCTTGAACTTTTTAATCCATTGACCAATTATGTTCATCCGAATATATTCTTTAATCACAGGACCTATCATGAACTGAGCAACAGAAGAATATTAAAAAAATAAGGTACGTCATATAAAAATAGCTTGAATAACTTTAAGTACGTCAGATCTTTATAATAGAGTTTTACATTATTTTATATACGGGCCAAAGTATTTAAAAAAATAGAATAAATTAAAATTGTATAATAAAACAAAAAGCATGGCTAGAAGCCTATACTTGACACGTTTCAATTTTTTAAATCACTATAACTGACCGGTAATTTTGTAAAGCAATATTAGTTCTATAAAGCCAAATGTTTTTTTGAAAAATCTTCTGTATAAAAAGTTGATGCTTTTTAAAGATTACTATTGTTCTATATATAATAAATAAAAAATCTGACTGGTAACTTTGTTCATTATAATAAGTTCTACAAAATTACCAATTAATTTTTATAAATATTGCTTCTATAAAAAGTTGATGCATTTTAAAGTTATACTATTTTCATTGTCTAATATATAATAGGTTTCTATTGCCATATGTATACGTATAAAAAGTGTAATCTACATATATACCATATACTAGAGTAAGAACTTCGAAAAATTTATTGGAATTTGAAAACATGGTGCCAAGATACTACGTATAGTGATAAAGAAAATTTTCTATGTATACGTACGTATATATAAACACTTATTAGGCCACCTTAATAAAATTTTGAGCTACATATTGACATTTTTCGTCTTTGTCCAAACTGTTCCGTGTACAACACTACTTGAACTGGGTGCCTGTTTCAATATTAACGACATATGTATCATAGATAATTTTACAACTTTTTTAATTGAAAGTTATAGGCTGCGCAAGTACGTAGAATGAAACAAAGGTTTAGACAATGGAAACCAATAATTATTCACATGATTTTATTATGCAATATTACTGAAAAATTAATTCATACTTTGTGATAGATCATTGAATGCGCACAAACATATTGTTCTGCAATAGATCACCTTAACGTTTTATGCACAATATATTAAATTTAAAATTTTCCTTTTTTGGCTATGAGAGAAATGAGCTCAAGAACATATACAAACAAAATTATAGAAATTTTTTTTAATTTTTCAATTTATTGGCCCTTGGAAAAACCGAAATATTAATGGACAAGAAGAGAAATCCAAATGGTTTAATGGAATACCTAGACAGGAAACGTGATGTCATTTAATTGTAGGAGTGGACTTATGTAGAATCTTTCGCAAATATACGCTAAATTAATAGTATTCTTTTATGTTTCTCTGAGCATTTTTTTTTTGATCGATAATGCCTTATATAGTTTTTATATTTTCTATACTTTTTTGGGCAAGGTTTCTTTGAACGATGCACTGTTGTATATAGTTTATAATTATTTGAACTACGCGTACATGGTTTAGAATTTTTTATAGGTATAGCGATTGAAGAAGTGCACGTTGGCTTTTTAGGTGTAGCAATTGAAGAAGTGCACTTTTGCTTTTTAGGTTTAGCAATTGAAGAAGTGCACGTTAGTTTTATAGGTTTAGCAATTGAAGAAGTGCACGTTGGTTTTATAGGTTTATCAATTGAAGAAGTGCACTTTTGTTTTATAGGTTTAGCAATTGAAGAAGTGCACGTTGGTTTTATAGGTTTAGCAATTGAAGAAGTGCACGTTGGTTTTATAGGTTTATCAATTGAAGAAGTGCGCGTTGGAAATTTAGTAAAGGTAGGTGCCATTATGGTATTCGAATTTGATGATATAGTTTTTGAAATCGGTAATGTAGGTAATGTAGTTGTAAGTGGTGTAGATAATGTAGTCGTAAGTGGTGTAGATAATGTAGTTGTAAGTGGCACAGTATTCGTAGAATTATTACTTTCGCCTCCAATCTTAATATCCGCGCACTGTAGATACAATTCACCATTTAATGCTGAATTCCACACCCACCTGAATGTGCATTTATCGCATGCTATTCCCGCCGGTAACTGTACATTATCATTAAACGTACCAATTGCATCTGCGCAATTTGAATATGATTTTAATTCTTGAAATTCTGAATCTTTGCCATTTATCGAAAGTTGAACACTACAGCTGCCCCCATGAGCTGTAAGAATTGTCCATGTTATAGGAATAGTTTGGCCAGATTGATATGTTGCAACGATGGGTCCTGGTTCATATCCGGAGCATGGTTGTTCAGTTGTTGGTCCAGCTGTCATTTGTAAAATATCGTTATCAAAACTGAACATTCGAATCTTTGGATCGACAACATATCCATGGGCTAAGGCTTTTTCAATAAAGCAGAATATGATGATTATGATGATTATTTTTTTTGTCAACATAATGCTACTTTGTGATCTCTTGGAGAATAACATCCGTAGTATGACGGTGGTAAATGCACAAATGATACTGGTACGATTAATTGTAGTTACAGGATTTGTCCACTAATTCTTTAAATTTATTTTGCGAAAAATAGTCTTTGAAGCCCAGCTTCTGAAAGACAAAAATACAATTAAATGTATGATTCGTTAAAAGTGTATGAGGATATGTCGAGTAGAAAGGAAATTGGGTCCTAAGTCTAGGTAATTCCCACTGGATTTTTCTTGTCAAAAGAAGAAAAGAAATGGACCAAATTTTTAATTTTAACAAAGGTTGAATCTATTTATTAATTTTTTAGAATGTACATAATGTCGTATAATACATTATCGTTATTGTAAACAATAACCTTTTTTTGTGTGATTTTATATTGTTCACCAAATATATCGTACAAATGTAACTTACGTCATACGATAATTAAAGCGCACGTCTGAAATCTGAGACAAGTTATGTCAATTACTAGTTCATTTAAATATCGCTCTATTACTAAAAATTTCGGAAGAATCAAACTGTAGTTAGCATAGTAATTTATGATTTTTCTTTCGAGAATTTTTTAGGTTACACGTGATCTTGACAGATTTCAGATATGCACTGATCTCTTAGTTATATAATATATGCCTGTATGCTACATAGGAAAGCTCCAAATGTCGAGCAATTGAATTTATGAAGAACGGTATTCTTATGTATCATAAAAACAGCTTAACATACAATAAGTTTTATTAAACTTTTATTTTTTATTTTTATTTGACTATGTAGATTGGTAAAGTATGTAAAAGCGATATAGCAAAGTTGTACGGCCGATCTAATGCCTTAAGTATATAGATATGAAAATATTAGAACATCAAAGGTAAATTTTATATATTCAAGCAATACACTTTTGGCACAAAATTTTTTCTATTGGTTTTAGACTGCTGCGTTTGATGCAAATAAAAGATCAAAAAATTGATAATTGTCACATCAAGATATCTAGACTTTATGTACATTAATAAATTATTAATATACAAAAAATATCAAGTGTAACAAATTAACTTTTTAAAAATACTGTGCTACGTATAATGCCAAAGTATAGTACAAAAAACCCCCCTCTCGTGATTTTTATCAAGTTAGATCGAAAAGATGTAACGAAGTCTTTGGGTTAGGATTAAGTCATGTTAGAGGGAAATTTTTTGATTAACGTTAATTTTGTGGGAATCTACAGGCGTTTAAAGCGGCATTACAATTATATTGTCTTTCGAATTTGCAAAAAAAAAACAAACCTTGTAAATTACAATATTACGTTTTTTTGCAAATTTTTAAATATTTATTGAGTCATGATTTTTGGTTGCCTTAGATGATTTGTACCGTATAATGCACATGAACAAAATTACCTATTTAGCAAAATAGTATATACTTCTTCAACTCTTAATTTTTAAATATACTAATATTTATAATATATACTATATTCTACAATAAGAACAAAACTTTATTGAACTTCCTCCTAGATATTTTATCAAAAAAATGTATGCAAAACATACATACTTGCAATATGATCTTTACAAAAAAGAAACATTGAATGAATTCATCTCAATTATCAAATATATTAGACTTCTACTTGGTTCTATTTTAATTATAATCAAAAACCTACTTCTAGTTTTACTAACTTTAAATTGAACCAACTTGAAGCATTTAAAACTAAACACTTACTAATGAATTGTTTATTTAATTCTTTTTTATTATAGATATTTTTTTTTATTGATATCAACTATTTTAAATATAGTCTTCTAATCTTATCTACATATTAGTATACTTGTTCTAATACTTATATTATTCTTATTGATATTATCTATATATCTATTAATTAGAAATTATTAGGGTAATTACTAAAAGTCTGGTCAAATGATCAGCAGGACCCAGGATCCCTTACAGCACCCCTGGATCTCGACCCTATAAAGTTATGCATTGTGTGATGATCTTAATCAACATGTGCAGAAATGGTCAACTTTCTTAATTAAAAATGTTATATATAAAATATTTGATTTGACCTATATAATTACTTGGTTATTTGTTCTTGTGAGTTTAATTCTTACAAATGGAATGATTTAATTAATATTTTATAAATGGCTCAAGTTTGGTATAAGAACATCAAAGTACATAAATGTTTATTTGCACTTGGTATATTAAGTTTATTTTTTTTAAAAAAAAAAAATTAAATACTTAATCTCTTATTTCTTAATTTACATCATTATTAATTATATTACTCTCTATTACTTCTGATACATTCGAGAGAGGTAAATACATTAAATATGGCTTTTTATTTGCTGAGGTCCAAGTGGCCTGTCTATGCCTTTTTCTCTCTACTGATTCTATTTCTTCTTCCATATTTGCTAATCTGCTTTAGTTTATTATTGCGTGAATATGGTGTCAGTTATTTGCTGATCGTTCAGTATGCATTCACTTTATTGTCTGCTTAATTAAAGGTCACTTCTCTTCAACATAAGTATGAACCTCCTTTTCTGGATCCTCATCAATATTATTAAAAGCTTTAGAAAGAGACATAGCAGTAGTTATAGACATAAAATTTATACTATTTGAAGAAGAAATAGTAGTAATCATAGATAATGAATTTATAACTTCATTATAATTAAAGTCCTTTATGATAAGAAAAGGCAGTATGATTTGATGTTTAAAATTTTCTCTAATTAATCGCTATCTGGTTCCATTAGACATATTTATGACTTGCCAAATCAAGTACTTACATATTAAAAAATAACTTTTAACAAAAGCAGGACAACTGCAAACCCAATAAGAAATTTATGTAAAATATGATCTAGGAAAGTCTGTTAATCGTGGGTCTGTTAGTTTTTTTTTACTTTTATTATTTTTATCTACACGCATTTCTATCTGACATTCATCACTTGCACCTAGGTAATTCCATTCTTTTTTAAAATTCTCCTATTAGCACAGGTTCATTGTACTATTTAGAATTTGAGAAAGATGATCATTTTGTGTTGGTATTACTTCGTCAAGAAGAGTCCAAAACATAAAGTCCAATTTGAGATTACTAAAATGATATAAATAATATTATTTAATTATACTCCAGTGCACTTTGATTTTCATAGTTGTTTTGCTAAGAGGTATTGTGGGTCTAACTGAACGTGCCCAAAGATGTTATTGACTTGGAGAATACCAATTGGTCTATAGATATGCCCATAAAATCCACAAACCATTTTTAACACAAAATTGGTATATTTCATTTATAGCAATTGTTCTGATATCAATTGGTGATATCATGCTTCTTTGAATATCGATTGTTACAAAAACCAAGGTTGGTATTCTTAGATGAAAAAAGAAAATTGAGTAAAGATATATATATATTTTTACTTAATATCGATATAACTGAAGTAAAGTATATTTAACTCACATAGTATTAGTGGGTGCATGCTATAATGTTTTCTAACTAATTTCAAAATTTGTTTATAATATATTATTGGACAAATAACATATGTTTGCAGATCTCGATCATATTCTGTTAAATAAAACTTGGCATCAATAAAATCAAATTTATTTACTGCTTGATCTGCATTGTAAATTATAGATATTAGATTTAAATAGTTGATTTTTTGTATTTCTCTACTAATTTTTATTTCAGTACTCTTTCCATATACCAAAGACAAAGTTGAATTTTCAAAAACCTCCATACATTAGTCACTGTATTTATTTCTCTGAAATCTTTATTCGTAAACACAAAGTCTGGTTTAATACTACTTTCTTTTATTGTCATCAAAAATTGTTCTAAAATCTCATAGTGCCTTTCTGTACTAGTATTTATATTTTTTACCTTTGTTGTATCAATTACTATATAGGCAATTGGGAAGCCAGCTCTCTCAATATCAGCTACAATGCCATATAATTTGTACCATCCTTTCATGATTCTGTAAGTGACATCCATATATATTTTCATCATATTAATACCTTTAATGTTAATATAAAAAAAGGTTGGTACAAAACATATTAATTCATATATGTTTAGATATATATTATATAAGTGCTATCAAGAGAAATGAGACTTCAGTTTATTATTTAATAAATTGAAGTAATATTTCTCTTGGCAGTGCTTATATATAGCACAACTATATAGCATTTGTGAGAATTGTCAAAAAGGTCATAGGTATCAAAATATATAAATATCTTGATCTTTAATTTTATTTAATAATGGTGTGGTAAACCCTATAGCAACTAACTCTGAATTTTGGATATATAAGCATTGACAAAAGCCTAAATTACTGTATTCATCAAGCAGTCTAAGTGCTAACTTAATAGGGTCATTGTAACGCTAAAATCTATTCTGATTTGCAATAAATTTCCAGTAATATATTCGCTTATATGAATATTTTGAAACATTAAATTCTTTTCATCATAGGTGATTTATTAATTCAGTTGTAGTAAGATATGCATGTGTACTTATTTCTTTCCTTAGTTCATTAGATATCTTAGCTATAAAATTTGGGCATAGATGAAGAAATCCATAGTATATATTCACTGCTACAATGCCAAGTGTCATGTCAACCATTACTCTGATCTTACCTTCACAATTGTAGCACATATACTGTTTACAGTTTAAATCTTTATATACTTCACATTGCATCTCATTTGACTGGCAACATAAGTATGTAAACATATCAACTGTGCTAAATTTTTTTGATAAATCCACCTTTTTATAACTAAAATGATATTTTTATTAGATATTAGGAGATAAAAAAAAATTTTAAAAATTAGATAAAAAAAAATTAGCACTTACTTTCACAAATAGTTATCGCCATTTTCAATCTTTATAATAACAAGATCTGTCACTTTTTTTAGTGTC